GTAGCAAATTCAAAAGACAAAATTGCAAGAAAAGTCACAAAGAAATAATGAAAAATTAAGAAACAATTAGCTGCAGATAAAAAGTCAAAAATAGAAAAAGAAAGATCAAGAAAGAAACAAATGGCTATTAAAAAGTTATTAAATGAAAATGTTTATTTAATATATATTTTTTTAATTTATATACCTAAAATCGTTTAATAAAATGTTACTAATGCATTAAATTTTTATTTGAAACCGCAAGCGCATTATAAACCAGTCACTAAAGCAGATTTTAAGATATACGATATATACGATAAGTGTGAAACACTTATCTTTGCTTTCAGTAACGAACAAGAATATTTTCGAATGTCTATTATTCAACTAGTTATATAGAAGTACAAACATACAAATATTGCATGTTTGTAAATACAAAACAATAGTTATTATTATTTAATAGTAAAATATGTAAAGTTGTACAGTACAAAAAATACTGAACAATACTGTAAAATACAGCTAATAATGCTAAACTGTGGTTTTATTTTATTTGGTTTTGTTTTTGTTATGTTAAAAGTTAAATTACACGGAGCGAGCATGTTCCGTAAGCCCATCAACAGCTAGCCGTGCTAGCTCGTGCGAAATTGTACGGAAGATGATGCGCTGTAGTAATTATTAAAGCTGATCGAATTTTGCTTTGAAGCGATCGACACTGGTAGCACTGACTACTACGTTAGGTAATGCGTTCCATGGGTGAGCGACGCGGTTGTTGAAGGAATTATAGCGAACGAGGCAGTTGTTGTCCATTTTACGATGAAAGCGCTTGCGGTGACCGTAGCTAGGTGGGATGTTGGGTGGATCTATATGCCAGCTAATTAAGTCGATACTGTTTTCGAATTTATATTTTTGAATGAGGTCGCCGCGTAAACGTCTATTTAATAGAGAGGTGAGACCAAGTTTGATGCATCTTGTCTCGTAATCGAAGTGCTTTATTTCGTGCGGTACTTTGGTAACCCGATGCTGAACACGTTCTATGACATTTATGTCTTTTTCAAGATGCGGGCACCAGGCAGTAATTGCAAACTCGAGATGTGGGCAGTAACTGCAAACTCGAGATGTGATCAGTAACTGCAAACTCGAGGTGTATATAAGTGGTTTAAAGTTTTTTCCATATTTTGGTATCTCTGCTTATAAACGTGTTTTTCAATGTCCCTTTAATAAATATTATGAACAGCGTAGGACCTGAACCTTGCGTAACGCCACTGGTAACCTTTACCCAGGTGGATGACGTATTACCTAATATGATACGCTGTGATCTATTTGAAAGGAAAGCTTTTATCCAGTTAAGAACGTTACCTTCGATTCCGTAGGATTCAAGTTTTTGAAGTAATTTTCTGTGAGGGACTTTATCGAAGGCTTTGGCGAAGTCAAGAAAAAGAACATCTACTGGAAGCTTGCGAGAAACGTTGTAGGTCAGAAAGTCCATGGCCTCAAGCAGATTCTTTTTTATTGACGGAACCGTGCTGGCAATCGGCAATAAATTTATGAGTAACAAGGTGCTGCATGATCTTTTCTTTAACAATTTTTTCCATTATTTTGCATGGTACTGAGGTGATGGAGATAAGCCTATAGTTTTCTGGGTCGAGTCTGGAGCTTTTTTGAACAGTGGCGTCACGTTTGCCGAGAGCCACGCTTTTGGGACTACACCTTGATCCATTGATTTCTGAAAAATGATGGCGAGCCGGGTAGCCGCCGCATCAGCGCATGCTTTAAGCACAAATGGACTGATACCGTCACCTTCAGTTGATTTATTGGCATTGAGAGCAGATAGGTGTTTGTGAACGGAATCATAGCTGAAGATGACGGAGGAGATTAAAGCGGTTGTAGGTTTAACAAAGGGAGGTAGTTGTTGATCTGATGGTTCGATTGTGAATACTGACTGGAACTGGCTGTTAAGTATATTGGCTATGGACGGTCGCTACTTATTTCCCCAGCGGATGAGCACATAGAAGTTATCTGGTTACTGACGGCGCTTTTGTTGTTTACATAAGCGTATAGACGCTTTGGGTTCCATTTGTCGCTAGCTAATTTGTGTTCAAATGCTCTAATTGCAGTGCAGGAAGCTTTTTTGACAAGGTTTCGAGTTTGGTTATACTCTTTGACGAGAGGAATGATTTGCCATTTGCTGTTGCGGTTGAGGTACCAAAGTTTTTCTTACGTTTAAATTTCTAAATGAGAAACTCGACTTGGGAGAGTTTCTCATTTAGATTCGCGTAATTACCTTTCCTGTATATAAATTTTGAGATGTTAAACACAGGCAGCCTTGGCTAACCAGCGAATTTAAAAATTCGCTGGTTAGCCAAGGCTGCCTGTGTTTGGCCGGTTTGGAGGTGACACGCGGAATAAATTTGTCACATAATTTGATATAGTTGTCGCAGAAGATTTGATAACATTCGTCGGCATATCGGTCTTTAAATAAACTAATCCAATCGACTTGGGAGAGTTTCTCATTTAGATTCGCGTAATT